CGAGGACCAGCTTTGCCAGCCTGCAGACACTCAACAGGAAACAGAGGGATAAGATCATCAACAGCCTAAAGCAAAGGTGAACCGATCATTCTTCCGAAAAAACTCGGGGATTCGGAGGCACACATCAGGGAGGGAACAAGGGCGGCTTAAGCAGCTGCCAGCGGCAGTGAGCGCACATCGCTAAACCGGCTCTGAGAAACCACCCTTCCAACCGAGCTCAGCTCCCACGTAGGCCCGGGAGTGCCTGAAGTTGGTGAGAAGTTCGGCGCGGGATTAAGCTGTGTTGGAGAAGAGACTAGAAGTAGGAACGCGCTGAGGTTCGCAGAGCACCACAGCGGCCGCGGGTTTAAGGCGGGGGGAGGGTCCGCGGCAGCAACGGCTCTCTGCGCATCAGGAACCAGAGCCCGCTCGGCATTTCCCTGCGACACTCCCAGGTCAAGAGTAAAGGGGAGTTTACACAGCAGGGAGGCTTTGACTTTGGTTTGGTAGAGGAGGTTTGGGATAGCACTGAGAGGTCAGAGTTGACAAAGTTAGACTCCTTGATCCATTAGGACCCCCTCCCTCTGCCCCTCCGGCACACCGCCCGCCCCTGCATTTTCCAGCTGCTGGACTCGGCCACCTCCAGCGCGGACTTGCACATCGGGGTTGGAGAGGCTGCGCAGAGAAAGCGCCGGTACGCGCCGCTGCTCCCACCAATTTGATATTGGACCATCACTTGCTGGCACAAGCGGGCACTGACTCTGTGCTCGAGAAGTGGACCCTGCCTGGATGGAAAAAAAAAAAAAAGAATATTACAAAGAATGAACAGCCAAATGGAAGAGATGCATTAGGCAAGGTATGTGGGAAAGGGCAGGGAGCTTCCATGCCCTGTTCAAATGAGCCACCCTTCAGGAACCTCCAGGTGTTCAGCTATCTAGAGTCTCTCTGAACCTTGCCATTTGCGGTTTTCATGAAAGCTTCATTAAATAGACATCATTAGCCACTGGTGATCAATTCAACCTTCAACCTTCTCCCCTCCGACCTTCTATTCATACACTGATGTTTCTAGTGAACAACTTAGCCCCCATCTTAAAGCAATCTAGGATCCCCCAATCATCAGCCATCTCATCAGCGTACAAAAGACACTCTTCTCACTCATTACGTTCCAAGAGTTAAGGAGCTGTATGCCAGGAAAGGGGAACCGAAATCAAATATGCATTTCACAATATCACAGTAAACAATTTTATTTATGACAGCATGAAAAGGAATAAAATACCTTAGAAATAAATTTAACCCAAACCACACAACATTGCTGAAAGAATTTACAGAAGACCTAAACAAATTGAAGGATATCCAGTGTTCATGGGAAACTGTTTGTGGATTGGAAGACTTAGCATTGTTGAGAGGACAATATTCCCCAAGTTTATCTACAGATTCAGTCCAATCTCAATCAAAATTTCACACTGTTGTGTGAACTCACACTTCCTTATTTCAAAACATACTACATAGCTATAGTAATAGCAAAATATATGATTCTAGTATAAGGATAGACATATATAGAGCAGTAAGATAGAATTAAGAGTCCAGAAATAAGTCCATACATCTATGGTAAGTTTATTTTAAACAAGTGTGCCAAGACAATTAAATGGGCACAAAATTGTCCCTTTAACAAAAGGTGCTGGGACAAATGGATATCCATGTGCAAAAGAATGAATTTGGCCCCCTTTGTCACACCATATACAATAATTAACTCAAATGGATCAAAGATATAAATATAAGAGCTAAAAACATAATATAAAATTCTTATAAGAAAGCATAAGGGTACATCTTCATGGCATTGGATTTGGCAATGTTTTGTTAGATATGACTCCAAAAACACAAGCAATAAACAAAAACATATGTGAACTAAAATAAACTCTTATGCCTCCTCCCCCAGCTGACTGAATGGACCACCTCTTGACCAAAGGAATACCCTAAAACTTAGTTACTGGCCATAAGAAGGGAGGTCAGATATGCCTTATCATGCCCCCTCCCTTCTTGTAGATATCCTTTGTAACTCATTAACAGGCATAAGGCTATGCAAGACAAACCTGCAGGTTCTCAGTTTACATAACAAATAACTTGAGTCTGGACAGAAGCTTGTGTCTGATTGACAGACTTCCTTACCTTAACTTAAAACATTCCAAGCCTTTAGACAAAGCTTCATTTCTTTAACTACTTACAAATCAAAGAGTCTTTAGGCCCACCTATAACCTGTAAGCCCCCACTTTGAGATGTCCCACCTTTTCAGGTCAAAGCAACATACGCCTTCCATGTATTGATTTAAGACTTTACATGTAATTCCTTTCTCCCTGAAATGCATAAAACCAAACTGTAACCCAACCACAGCGAGTCCACTTGCTCAAGGCTTCTCGGGCATGGCTCCAGGCCACGGCCCTCAAATTTGGCTCAGAATAAACCTCTTTAAATTGCTTTACAGAGTTTGGCTTCTTTTCTGTTAACACATACATAAATTGGACTTCATCAAATTTAAAACTTTTGTCAAAAACACTATCAAAAAAGTGAAAAGACATCCCTCAGAATGAGAGATAATAATTTCAAATCATATTTCTGCTAAGGTTCTCCTACCCAGAATTTAAAAAGAACAATTAGCAACTCAACAACAAACAATTCAATTAAAATTGGATAAAAATCATGAATAGATATTTCTCCAAAGGTACACAAATGTTCAACAAGTACACAAAAAAGATGTTCACCATCATTAGTTATTAGGGAAATGTAAATTAAAACCACAATGAGATACCATTTCACACCCACTAGAATGGCTGTAATGATAAAAATGGTTGAATCACTTCTAAAATAAGCCTTTCTCTGAAGAGTTATGATCTCACAACGTTGAAATAATAAATTCTTATAATTACAGCAATTGTTCTGATTATAAGTTTGGTGTCTAAGTTATTCTGTTCAAGTGAACAGATTAATAACTCATGTGCAAACACAATTTATAAACATTAAAAAATCTAAACATCTGAAGATAGGAGGGAATGGTAAAAAGTATGAGAAAAAGATTTTGTACTGAATTTTTATGAAGCTACTACAAAACATGTTTTCAGAAAATATCTAAAAACCCAAGCAAATGCTTATTCTATATGGAAAAGGACATGACATGAAATTGCTTATGCATAATTATCCCAGTTCTGGCCAGCCAGGTGGCTCACACCTGTAATCCTAGAACTCTGGGAGGCCTAGGTGGGAGGATGGCTCAAGGTCAGGAATTTGAAACCAGCCTGAGCAAGAGCAAGATCCCCATCTCTACTAAAAATAGAAAGAAATTAATTGGCCAACTATAAATATATAGAAAAAATTAGCTGGGCATGGTGGCGCATGCCTGTAGTCCCAGCTACTTGGGAGGCTGAGGCAGAAGGATTGCCCAGGAGCCCAGGAGTTTGAGGTTGCTGTGAGCTAGGTTGACACCATGGCACTCTAGCCGGGGCAACATAGTTAGACTCTGTCCCCCCAAAATAAAAATTATCCCAGTTCTGTCTCTAGTTTTGGACTACACACACGCACACAAAAATTACCTTAGCTTTGTAAGAGCTTAGACAAATGCAAAGGGAATAATGAGCGTTTAACATTTTGCTGTGAACCTTGGGAAATGGGAGGTGGGCCTAGAGTTTATTTTCTATTCATGTCAAGTTTTTTATTTTTACAAAGTGTCCACATTGTGCATGCAATTCGTTTGCAACTGGGGGAAAAGATTTTTTTAAAAGCAAAGAAAAAATCCTCAGGAAGTAAATGGAACGACAAGTCAGTAAAAATTATGTAGATTGGGTCAAAATGGCAGACTGAACACTGAGCAATAGCGCATTTCTCTTATCCTACCCCAATTCCCCTTCAATGACGGAAAGGGAAGTTTTTGTATATAAGGAATAACCCCATAAGGGCACGGAGGAAGAGGAAAAGGAGAATTTTTGGAAGATGGACAGCATACGGGGGACAGGTGCTGAGAGGGTGAGGGTGGAGTTGAAGGTGGGGGTGGAGGTGGAGGTGGAGGTGGGAATGCACAGTTGGAGGGGGGCGGTACTGGAGGAGGTGAACCTAGGCCGTGTGAGAGAGGTGGTTGTGGGTCCGACAGCTCCTGATTTGGGGAAGAGGCAGGGCTTCCCCTGCCCAGGTCTGTGCGCTGGTTGGTCAGGGGGTGGCAGAGGAGGAGCGCCGCGGTGTTTGGCAGGAAGGGGAGGCCTCTAGCCTGGCAGGCCTCTGCGCTAGGATAAGACGGAGGAGACTGCGGCGGCAGCGGCTAGTGGAGTCCGTTGTGGCAGAGGGGCCGCTGCAGCCGACAGGGAGGTGGAGGGCTCAGAATCCAAGTGCTGGAGACGCCGCCACTGTCCTCTTTGCCTGCCTTGCCGCCCTCCTAGACACACTCCTCGCCTACAGATCGTCCTCTCCCAGCTCTTGCAAGCACCCGGATGGACGCCTGCTGATCTTCCTTCGCCACAGGGTCACTGCGGAGGCAGCGGCGAGGTGTCCGATTTGGGCACGTGAGGCCAGCGATCCGGGACGGTGGGGAATCTGTGCCTACAGGCCGTGATAGTGTTGGACGCAGTGCGAGGGGAATGGGGAAATACCTCCTATTTCTTCGACCTAACCGCAGCTTCCTTGCTCTAGCATAGCGGAACTGAGCTGGGGAGGAAGGTTAATGCAGGCACACAGCCTTGATTTCCAGCTTTGCTATGTAGCTTTTGGGGAAAACAGGCGTAGGTGCATGGGGTGAGCTGATAGGGAGAAAAAGCGCACCGTGTTTCATGCATTGAATTTATTTTTTCTTAATTTCCTTTTTCGATCCACCTGGCGAATGTTCTCCTCACAGGCATGAAGACCCCATTTGAAAAGGTGGCTGAAGGGCAGCGGTCCAGAACAGGCGCAAGGCACGCCAGTGTGTCTGTTACCGTGATGAAGAAAAAGGCTGCGCACAAGAAACATAGAAGTAGACCCACCTCCCAGCCTCGCAGAAACATAGTGGGCTGCAGAATTCAGCACGGATGGAAAGATGGAGATGAACCTCTTACACAGTGGAAGGGAACCGTTCTGGATCAGGTACCTGTAAATCCCTCTCTGTATCTTATCAAATATGATGGATTTGACTGTGTTTATGGATTAGAACTGCACAGAGATGAAAGAGTATCATCACTTGAAGTACTTCCTAATAGAGTTGCATCATCTAGAATCAGTGATACACATTTAGCAGAAATCATGATTGGCAAAGCAGTGGAACATATTTTTGAGACAGAGGAAGGTTCCAAAAATGAATGGAGGGGGATGGTCTTAGCTCAGGCACCTGTCATGAACACATGGTTTTATATTACCTATGAGAAAGATCCTGTATTATATATGTACCAACTCTTAGATGATTATAAAGACGGTGACCTCTGCATCCTTCAAGATTCTAATGATTCTCCTGCAACAGAGAGGGAGCCAGGAGAAGTCATAGATAGCCTAGTAGGCAAACAGGTGGAATATGCCAAAGATGATGGCTCCAAGAGAACTGGCATGGTCATTCATCAGGTAGAAGCAAAACCATCTGTGTACTTCATCAAATTTGATGATGATTTCCATATCTATGTCTACGATTTGGTTAAAACATCTTAGAAGTCATCGTGAAATTTGCCAAACATATAAGACTGTAAAATCTGTAGAAACACAAAGTCTTGATTGCTTTCCAGTTTGTAAGAACCAGCTTCTCCCTTTTTGCACGTTTTTGCCTGACAAAAAAAATGGGACTTCCGCCCTCTCAGATGTTTTTGAAAGAAACCTTCTCTCCAACCTTTTCACTGGTTCTGGTTCCTCTCCACAGGAGAATGATTGAATTCACTGATTAGTGAGAAGGGTAAAGTCTGACATCCATTGGCCCATACTTTTATCTTGGGTGGTGTTAATAGGTTCAATGTAGCTGAACAGCTCTCACCTCACTCTTTTTGGCACTTGGACCCATTGAGCTGTGAAGCTTCCTGAGATATCCCACATGACTGGCTGGGTAAGTGTATTTGCAATCTCAACCATACCCCCCTGATGGCTTCAAAAGTCTAACTTGGGGAGGAGGAGCATAAATCCCATTTTTGTCTCCTGCTCAAGTTGCATTCTCAATTATAAGTATAACTGTACTAAAAGTAAGGCTGACATTTTGTTCCCTTTCTGAGTCTTGCACCTATTGCTCAACTGGTTCAGAAATAAGAGGGTAATTACTTTGCATTTTAGTACATAAGCATAGTCTGAGAAACTGTACAAAACTGGTAAGAAGAGAAGCATTTAGGAACAAAACTCCAAGTGGAGTGATCAAGATTTCTGGGGGAGCTTAATGGAAGGTTTTGGTCATCAATGACATTCGTGTCTCTCTTGTCTGCAATAGCTATGGCTGGTATCTGCAGACATGGAGTGAGTTTTAACAGACGCAGGCTGTGGTGGCAGACTTTAGCACAAGTGGGCTTTGCCAGCCAGTAGAACATTAAGCCAGGCTCTAGTTGGAGTCCTCAGTCACAGTGCAAAAGCTAGATTTGGCAAGAGTTTACAAATTTGTCCAGAACCTCAAAATGGAAGAAAAGAACTCTGGAATCAGAATGGGATATAGATTTCTTTCCTGTACCAAGAGGGACTTTTTCAGAAGTTTTAGATTAGGTTTTAGATTAGATTCTTAGAAGACCTCAATATTCCAGAATATGAGGTGGGCAAGGCACTTGGTAGAAACAGGAAAGGCTAAAAATAGATTTTGCTTCCTAGCAGGGACAGATGCACTCATCTATTATGGTGTCCCAGCAGGACTGTGGAACACAATTAGTGTTAGATAATCTATACTCTTTTTTTTTTTTTTTTTTTTTTTTTTGTTTTTTTTTTTTTTTTTTGTTTTTCTGTTTTTTTTTTTTTTTTTTGAGACAGAGTCTTGCTTGGCTCAAACCATCCTCCTGCCTCAGCCTCCCAAGTAGCTGGGACTACAGGCATGTGCCACCATGCCCAGCTAATTTTATATATATATATATTAGTTGGCCAATTAATTTCTTTCTATTTATAGTAGAGACGGGGTCTCGCTCTTGCTCAGGCTGGTTTCGAACTCCTGACCTCGAGCAATCCGCCCGCCTCAGCCTCCCAGAGTGCTAGGATTACAGGCGTGAGCCACCGCGCCCGGCTAATCTATACTCTTAATGATGTTTTCAATTCTGGCATTGGTAGATAGAAATCGAATAGATTTTTGTTACTGTTTTCATTTTCAACTCAATTTTGATTCTTGGCTGGTCCTGAGAAACTCATGTGCAGTTAAGGGTGAGCCCTATTGTGTCAGAAAAGAAGCAATGGAAGGAACCTTGTACCGTTCTATTATTAAAGGCATTAGTGGGCCAGGTGTGGTGGCTCATGCCTGTAATCCTAGTATTCTCCAAGTCCAAGGCAGGAGGATCATTTAAGTTCAGGAGTTCGAGACTAGCCTGAGCAAGAGCAAGACCCCGTTTCTACTAAAAAGAAATAGAAAGAAATTAGCTGGACAACTAAAAATATATAGAGAAAAAATTAGCCATGCATGGTGGCACATGCCTGTAGTCCCAGCTACTCGGGAGGCTGAGGCAGGAGGATGGTTTGAGCCCAGGAGTTTGAGGTTGCTGTGAGCTAGGTTGATGCCACGGCACTCTAGCCCAGGCAACAGAGTGAGACTATCTCAAAATAATAATAATAATAATAATAATAATAATAAAGGCATTAGTGAAGGTTAAGCAAAGCCTAGGAAAGAAACGTTGAAAAATAAGCAAGGTTTTGGAGAGAAACACCTGGCCAAAACCAATGGCTTCTCATTGGGGTTAAGACAGAAGTTCCATTAGCAGTAATAGGCTAAGAAGGCCTTGGACTTCTGCACATTTGGGGTTGCGACTCATGGCAGTTCAATCAACCACTTGGGAGATATCTTCCAAATTAGTTTAAGTTCACAAGTCATGGAGTCCAGACTACTGACAGAGACAGACTGGCATCCTGCTGAGGATGAAACCAAGAAGATATTCTCTTTTCTCCCATGTTTTCTCTGTCTACTTTTCTTCTTTTTGATGCCACTAAGTCTCTGCTGTGATATATGACTGACAACAGCAATGTGGATCTGTATTGTCCTATGTACTAACTACTAGGGGCATAAATTTCCTTGGGAAAACTGTTCTGGTGGCTGGAAATTATTGCAGTTTTTAATTTTTTGGATGTGAGGCTGATGTTGTGATAATCTTACGTCTTATTAGCCTTTTGGACTCTTAAAAAATGTATAACATGCAATTGTGGGGTTAGATTAATTCAGCTCCTGAGGTCCTGAAGGAACTACACTCAATCAAGAGGAAGACAGCCAGGCTGCAGCAGCTGAAGGAACCCTATGTCTTCCCAGACACCTTTATGAAATCTGTATGGCTGAAATAAGAAAAACAAGAAATTGGGAAAAGCAGAATTTCAGACTTTAATTCTTTGGACTTTAAATTATAAATTTAATTTGGGGCATTTATTTTTCCCTTTGAGTTTAATATTTGGTGAGGAGTGGGGTCATACAGTTCAAATTAAGGAAGTTTCATTATGTTGCTGACATTGTATTCTTTGGAGTATTTTAATGGTGTCTTCAGGGATCATTATATAATTGTTGTAAGCTATGTCAGGTAATATAGCTGGGCATAATTGTAAACTGGGGATAAAGTAGTGAGTGAATTTTCAGCCTAGGGTGTAAGATAGCCTTGGAATTCATTTAATTACTGCCATATTCTGACTCATTTCAGAGCCATTGGGGGGCAAAAGCAGATCAGAGCCTTTTGGGGGCAAAAGCAGAACTGCTCACCAATCTTGCACAGATGGTAGCAGAACTTTCCTGGGACACTGTTTGTCTCCTGGAAGGGGACAGCCACAGCCTTCTTTGTTAACTAGAGTCTTGAGTGTTAACCACTGTGGCTTAAGAGAACAAAATTGCCCAAGAGTGTGATGGGATCTATCTTCTGCCTCTCTCCATGTTCCTGACTCAAGAAAACAAAAACAAAATAAAACAAAAAAAACAAGACTTACATCTCTCAAAAATATTTGGAAGAAAGTCTCTACCCATCTTTTCTTGCCACTCATTCAATCTTATGCGTGGAATGATAGGTAGGTTAGGCCCCTTTTGACTCTTGACCTCATTCCACACAGCAAGATGTGGAAAAGACTGCAGTCCTTCACTACATGGCTGGGTAAACATCTGCTCTATAGATGTAACTCTCCCGTTGGGGTAGGGGATCCCAAAGCCCTTAGACTTGAAGTATAAAGTCATTTCAGCCTGAGATCCAAGCCATGTTCTCCAATCCAGTGCTATCAGCTATAAAGCTAGTGTCTATTTTTATTCTTTTTTTAAATTTTAATATGTAAATTGGGTTTTTAAGAAAAATTACACATGCCCATGGTAAAATTCAAACAGTATAAAGAGTATACAATAAAAATTAAGTCTCTTTTCCTCCTTCCCACCGCTGAACTCAGTCCCCTAGTCCTACTTTCCAAAGGTAACCACTGTTATGAGTTACTTATGTATCCTTCCAGAGATACTCCATGTATTTACAAGCATATGGTGTATGGGTATGTGTGTACATTAGGGTTTTTTTTTACACAAGTGGTGGCATACTATACGTGCTGTTCTGAATTTTGCTTTTTTTCACTTAACAATATATTAAAGCTGATATTTTAATCTCTATTTGATTCTTGTGTATATTTTTAATTGGTTCAGAATCTGGAAGGAAAGGAGGTATGATTAATTCAAACTTTCAAACCTTAACCCAGTTTAATGAAAACTTACATGACCCTATAAACCCAAAATTTCTGCCAGTCAAATTTTTCTTACTAGTAGAATATGAAATATATGTGAACATGATATATTTTGCGAGAGGAAGTCTTTGAGAGAGGCCAGTATATTTTTATTGAGGTAAGTTAAAGGGAAAATCAACTATACATTGAAGCTGTGGAAAAAGTTAATGTACTGTAATCAGTAATCCAAAAATGAAATGAACAATCATTTTTTCTCTTCAAACTTGCATTCACATCTATTGCCATATGCAAATTTATGCTAATAGTTTTGATTTACCTTTTCTAACAGAACTTCCCTGCATGCAACAGGAAACCCATTTCAAACAGGTTTAAACAGTTACCAAACATCATTGATCCATATAACTAAAAAAAATATCCAGAGGTCAGATGGGCTTCAGGCATAGTTTGAATTGGAGCTCAGGCTCCATGTCTATGATTCTTTAGGATTTTCCCTCTGTGTGTCAGTTTTATTCTCATGCTACCTTGCCTTATAGCAAAATTGGACCAGTAGTTACAGGCTTCAGCAGTCCAGTCTAGAGAAAGATAGATACCCTATGTCCTATGATGCATTCTCAACTGGCTTAAGTCATACCCCCGGATTAATCACTGAAGTCCCCTGAATGAAATACACTGGATTGGCTTAGCAAGGTCATATGCTCCATCCCTGAACCCTAGGGTATATCTCTCTGGAACCAGATGGATTCCCAGTAAAATCAAGGGCTTTTGGGAAATGAAAAAGGAATGCTATGAACCAATCACAAATATGTAGTATACCTTCTTCTTTTGAGTACTTAGCATTCTTGGACACCTTTCTTCCCACATATTCACTTTCAAAAATGCCCACCTCAACATGTAATGAATTTATGTCCCCACAGGGGAAAAACCTAAAGCCTTACCTAATTGTTGTATTTAGCATTATGTTCAGGATCTCTAGTTGATATGCAGCCATCTTAAGATCCATCTTCCTAGCAATCTGGTCACTTACAAATTGTATACTACCCTTCACCTGAACATACCTAATATACACTGGTGGAGAGATAACCAGAGACATATAATAAAACTACCATTTGAAAAAAGGAGGAAATAGGAAACAATACACAGTAGTTTCTGGTCCAAAGCATATATCATAACCTGTTAAACAAGGACTCCCTGTCCTGGCAGTTGAGTGAGTCCTCTGGTCAAATAGCCTCTTTTTGTTTTCTAGCAGGGTTGCCGTTGGAGGCACATTTTGGGGAGATGCCCTTCCTGGGGACTGAACAGCTTTACCAGTCTGCTTCATTTTATGCCATTTCTTGTGCATGGAGGTTGAACAATCACAGTGTTTGTTGTTGGCCATGATTAGAGTATCTTCAGTACAGTAGTTCTCCAACTTTAGCACACATCAAAATCACCTGGAGAACTTGTTAAAATACAGATTGCTGTAGATTCTGATTTAGCAGGTCTAGGGTGGGGTCCAAGAATTTATATTTATATAAATTTCAACATAAGATTGATGCTGCTGGTTCTGGGACTCCACATTGAAAAATCACTGACTTACAAGTGGCAATTGAATGAAGCCAGAGTCATTATTTCCTAAGCTTACCTGATGATAAGATTTACCTGGGGTGATTGTTAAATATAAATTGCTGAGCCCCACCTTAGATTTAATTTAAATCTCACAGGGAAGAACCTCGAGAAGCTTTACAGAATACCCCATGGGATTCTTATTGTGAGTAATGATTAGGAGACAATGGTCTAGGAAATTAGATTTTTCTTGCCCCAATCTTATCTCCTGATAAGTCTCCTTTCCCTTGCTTTTGCTCTCACTAAGCTTAGTTTGGGGTAAAGAATTTGACTTTTCCAATCCTACAAAGTTCCAAATTATGTAGATCTCTTTCAACTAGGATTTTTGGCAACCAGTGAATAAACTAGTACAGCTTTATTTTCTTCCCTCACTTCTTTCATATAGGACCATTTCAATGAGGGAGATGGTATGCTTGACCTTAGCTTAAGAAGTACATATCTGAAGTCACATGCTCCCAAGAGGGCAAAGAATAAGAGAAAAA